TATATATAAGTGTAGCGATGAAGATGCTAAGAGTAACTAATTAATACATAGTTAACTCGATTTGAGATGGAACAAGAGATTGTTGATGGTTTGATACCTCCATCTAAAAATGCTAATAGTATGTAAGATCATCCACCTTGAAGCAAAGGAGAGGATGCCAGGTGAGAGGAAGGCAAGGAAGGAGGTGACCATGGAGGGGAAGGATTAGGAAGGAGGTGACCATGGAGGGGAAAGATTAGGAGGCTCCAGTCAAGCTTCATTTCATTTAATTTTTTGATAATACATTTTTTTTATTGATTTAAATAAATTATTTTAATTATATCTCTCTATTTTACTGTTTCATAAAGTGTAAAAGGAAAACTTAGGAGATAAGAAGAGCATATTAGATAAAGGTAAAATCTCATGTGAAGTAATCTATGAAAGAAAAAGAATATATGATGAAATATCATTTATACCCTATTCAATACAAATATACTAAAGATCTAAAACATCATAAAAATTATATAAAATTTATTTTAATTTAAGAATTATTTGCAGTGATGTTAACTTCTCCCCGGCCTGATATTAGACGTATGTACGCAGATAAATTCCTCAATATCATCCCCCAAAAACAATTCAAAAATAATTTGATCTTAGCTAAGTAGCGTTTTGGGAATATAGATATATTTTTTGAGAGGTATCTACTTTGCAAGGGTGAAGTTGTCATTTTAAGAAAGATTGAAAGCTCTTATGCTCTCCTTGCTGTGGACTCAAAGCCACCAATCTACGCTTTATTACTGTGGCGTGAGACGCTTTTAAGGTGCCCTTCTCCCGCCCCTTTCTGAGTGAGAGAGAGAGAGAGAGAGAGAGAGTTGGGACTGGTGGTCGGAGCCTTGCAAGGCGACGGCGGGCGACTCGATGTTGAATTGGAGCTGGGTGGAGCGCGGGATTGAAAGCTTCGTCATGGTGGCGGCGGGCGGCAGCAGCAACGAGCGGTGGCGTCGCTGCGTAGCGCTGGCGGTGACGGCCTTGGCCGGACTCGCATTGGCCGTCGCCCTGGTTGTCTCCTCTCGTAGGTGAGACAGAGAGCCGGAAAGGTGCTCTGCTTCTTTGCTTCCCCTCCTCCCCCATCCCATTCGAGAAACACGAGAACACAATCGCAAAAAAATCGAGTTTTGTACATTTAACTAGCAATTAATTCTCCATTTGTCTCCAATATACTGTTATTATTTGGATCTGATTTCGCTGTCATTGTCAGTCTCTCAACCCTTTCCCTTCCCCTGTTTGTTTCAGTGGTTGTCTTACGCTACCATGGTGTCGGGAGAAGCGAAGACATCCTCTGACTCGGAAGGAATGGAACAACTTCTCGCGCGACGGAAAGCTTCGCGGTGGAGGGATGAAGTTCTTGGAGAAAGTTCGCAGTGGAGTAAGCACCAACTTACGATTCCTCTCTGTTGAGGAAGCTCCAATGATCTAATAGCTTTTCCTGCGAATTCAGGGAGTCGATCCAAGCATCAGGGCTGAAGTCTGGCCTTTCCTTCTCGGAGTGTAAGATCCATCAACCATCTTGCCAAGCTTGTAATGTGTTTAGGAGAGATGAAGAACATTGCTCATACAACGATATTCTGTAACTTGTACTCTGCTTCTATTAGATATGTGCAGATCACACTGCCTATGACCATCTTACTGTTTGGTGCAGCTATGACATGAACAGTTCGGGAGCTGAAAGGAATGCCATTCGAGAGCAAAGGAGGTACTTGGATCTACCATCTTTTTCTCCCTTGTTTCAAATCTTGTCTGCTATTGCACTGTTTGAACAGGAAAGAGTACGAGAAACTAAGGAGGCGGTGTCACCAATCTGCGGATGAAGACGATAAGAGTAGCTCTACCGACGAGACGGAATCATCTGACAGCCAATCTTCCACTGGAGAACCAACCATGGCGAATCCAGCAGCTGAGGACTTCGCGACATGGCAACGCATCATCCGCTTGGACGCCATACGATCCGATGCAGAGTGGATTCCCTATTCCCCACGTCAAGCTGCGGTCCCCGAGGCCGAAGCTCTCCGGTTAGCTTCTGCCGTTGGCTTGACGGATTACGGTGACATGGAGCCATGCAGAATCTACCACGCTGCTCGCCTTGTCGCCGTTCTCGAGGCGTACGCGCTCCACGACCCTGAGATCGGCTACTGCCAAGGAATGAGCGATCTCCTGTCTCCCATTCTTGCTGTCATGGAGGTGGACGATGAGGCGTTTTGGTGCTTCGTGGGGTTCATGAAGAGGGCTCGGCACAACTTTAGGCTTGATCAGGCGGGCATCCAAAGGCAACTGCAAGTCGTGTCCAAGCTCATCAAGTTGCGTGACGCAGACCTGTACCAGCACCTGGAGAAGCTCCAAGCCGAAGACTGCGCGTTCGCGTACAGGATGGTGCTGGTCGCTCTCCGACGAGAGCTCACCTTCGAGCAGACGCTGTGCCTGTGGGAGGTCATGTGGGCGGATCAGGCAGCGGTTCGGGCAGGTTACCGGAGGAGAACGCGGTCGGCGCCGCCCACCGACGACTTGCTGCTGTATGCCATTGCAGCCTGTGTGCTGCAGAGGAGGAAGGCGATCATGGAGAGGTTCAACAGCGTGGCTGAGATCCAAAAGGAGTTCAACAACATCGCGGGGCAGCTGGATATCTGGAAGCTTTTGGATGATGCACAGGACATGGTGGCCGCCCTCCATGACAAGATCGAATAAAGCTAGCTTGGTTTCTTAGAGGCATCGATGCCATGTTTGTGATGCAATTACATTTCATGCAAGTGCAGTCAAAGTTGTTTGATGAAATATCTACTTGAAGCTTGTCTAAGGTGGTAGAACTAAAACAAGGTTTGCAGTGTATTCTACACAGATTACAAGTTTAATGTTGATATGGTCAATTTTGATCATCAATCCATAGCATTTCTACACAGATTTCTACTTTCAAACACAAGAATATTACATCGGAAACAGAGAAACAGTGCTTGCAAGGCTATATCTTCCGCATTCTTAGATCTGCGTAATCTACTTGGTAAAATGTCGGACGACAAAGGCGAAGCCAAGAATCATCACGGGCGCAATGAACTGTAATATTCTCATCACAAACTCCGGAGTCCCATCTGCACTGCCTTCGGGTGCTTGCTGAGGCTTCACACGGTCACCATCCTTTGGAAGAGTCGAGGAATCGATCGTCCCGACGCAGTAGTTGTCCATCAGCTCCCTGCCGGACGAACTATGACCGACATTATCAAATTCAACCGTTGCATCCTTTCCTGCAAACCATCGAATCGATGAAGCACTCTTAAATTCCGCTGTTCAACAGCAGGCTTCAAAGCGTGGTAAAGGCGTACCGGTCGCCGACAGCAACACGTCGCGACCACCGGGATGCTCGGCCATGTACGAGGAGACATCGTAGACCTGAAGCATAGAGAAGAAGGAACCATGAAGCGTGCACTTCTTCACCATGTTCATGAATGCAAAAACTATTGCTCGTCATGGAGATGCAAATGCATAAAATCGAGCTCAAAGTTGCCCTTTCTCATGGATCAGAAGCTTCGCCTGCCTCGGATCTTCTCAAACAGATGCAACGGAACAAACCATGATCTCCGAAAGCAAGATTAGGAACCTTTCCGGAGACGATGAGCCAGCAATCCTCGGCATCATCGTGCTTGGCCACCTCATCGAAACGGTAGATTTTGGAGCCGGCCATCGTCTCCTCGCTCCAATGACGGATTTTGGCGACTACTTATAGCGGAGAGGAGGACAAATAAGAACAAGCTTTAAATGATCATGGCAATCATAGTGATTTAGAACCTCACGTCATCTGCATCGGAGAATTGAGAGTTGCATGGAGATTAGGTTGGTGCAGTAAACGCAGGCATGGACGAATTGAACTGATGGGCTGCATTAACTTCAACCCATCCCCTTAACGCCCACCCAACCCATACTTGGATGGAGAAGCACCTGCGCCGAATCTTTGAATTCGGATCGGATCTTTCTGTATACAGATTTATCCGACCCGTTTAAACCGGAACTGATTACCTTTGCGTTGGATTCGAATATAGTACATAAATAGTCAAATTCGATCCGAATAAATCGGGTTGAAGTAAGTATTCGGGTCGGATTCGGATTTAAGGATCCAATGGGTATCCATCGCTGGGGTTGCAATTGAATTCAAGGAGAGCCTTAAATGCTCGACATGTCCTTACAATAAAAGTCAACCATTTGCCCATATGTACCCCTTTAATGAGGCCTGCTGAGGCTGTCCTGTCTTGGCTGAGACAAAACATTGAATGTTAGATTTTATATTATTTAGAAATTATTTCTTAGTGATATTAAAATAATTGACAATAATTGTGAATGAATGTTAAGTTTGTGTTGGATTTTACTATTCTAAGTTAATAATTAGTGAAGATTGAATTGACTCAATTTGAATCATCAAGTAATGATAAATTACTATATATATATTATAAATTTGAATAATCAAGTTTTTTTGGCTAATATATATATATATATATATATATATTATTGATTTTATATTTTTGTTTATTTATGAGTAATAGAATCATAAAAAAAAAAATTGTAGCTCAATATACAAGTTTCTTTTAGGATTGAGATTTGATTGAACTTTTTTGTATTGAGTTTAAGAAGATAAACTAAATTATGATTCATATGCTAACTTAAGTTTTTAGTTATAATAATATTAATAAAAAAGTATATGATATGAAAATGAAATGTTCTTATTGTTCAAAACTCATATAGGCCGATCTTAGATGATCGATTAATTTTAGTTCCACTTTTTAATTCGGATCATCCATCACCCGTATGCACGGATGAGTGATGATTTGAACATATATCGTCCTGATTAAAATATTTAATCTTATATTGATCGAAAAGTTGATCCAACTCAATTGAGCAAAATTGTCTGAGGAAGATGATTCCTTATGGATCCTATTAGATGCCATACATGATGTGGCTCAACGAGACCTTTGCTCCCTAACTAGCGTGGCTAATAAGGTCGAGTTCTTATTAAGTCACAATAGCAACACTAGGACTTATACTCAAGTTATACTCCCATTAAGTGATCAGATATTGTTGATAAAAAAAAAGTATATCATATATCTACTAACTTAAGCTTTTAAGCTTTTAGATGCAATGATATTAATGAAAAATCATGTACGATAACATAGCAAAAAGGTCTTTAAAACTTAACTATCCCACCCAACTTAGGTTAGATAATTTTGCACGACCAACTTAGTCAAGCTTAAATTGACCCGATCAACTTAGTCAAGCTTACATAGACTCAATGCTTGGCCACACAAAGTAAGTCGTAGTCGGTCAGACCATCCTAATACTTACAAGATTAAGTTTTTTCCCATCACATCACTTTATTATTTGTGTTTAAAGCTATAATATACATGTAAATGAGACCTAGTTGTGCTCATGCCGTTTGTTGTATCCCAAAAATATCTCATTTGTGTGAGATATATTCATCTATAATAATAATAATAATAATAATAATAATAATAATAATAATAATAATAATAATAATAAATATATGAATCATCCAATGTATTCTAAAATATTTTATTTATGTATGACATGCTTATCTAAGGCACAAAAGTATTTGAAATATTTGATATATCCTAAAATATTTTCTTTGTGCATGATACATCCAATAAGGATAAAAAAAAGCATCCAAAATCTTCCATTTGCATGCGATATATTTATTTAGGACAAAAAGATCGAAAGTGTTTTAACACATTTTGAAATATCATGTTTGCCTACGATATACTTGTTTACGACAAAAACTAAAGTGCTTAGAAACATTCAATACATTCCAAAGTGCCTTGTTTTCAATACATCCTTCGAGATAAAGAAATATCTAATGTACTTGATGCATTCCATTTGTTGGATTAGAGCGAGAGTGATGAACAAAACGATAATTTCAATATTCTTTCTATTTTCAGTACACGAGATATTAAAATTATTTTTTTTACTGATAAAGTAGTTGGAAATCAAAAGAATATTAAAATTATCTTTTTGTTCGTCACTTTCATACCGATCCAATATGTCATATAATATTTTTAAAATAATAAAATTTTTAATATAAAATTTTGAAGTACAATGATCGATTTAATCGTCTGACATACCGTCGAATAGAATTCTGCTATAAATCCAACTTATAGGAGATTCATCTGCCAATGAACCCTTGAAACAGAGTCAGTGCTTTCCATTTTAGATCGAAGGCTTGCCTTCATCTAAGAACACCAGCATGCTTTAACGAAGCAATCCTCGACATGCATAAGTCCGGTGCACAACATCAAGCGAAGAAAAATTAATATCTTAGGAAAGAGTGTTGGAGACAAAGTGGGACTCAATCAAATTATATGAACCCAAACTATAACTCCGTTAGTAACTAAGCTATCCCATTCAGAAAGTGCTCGTTTAATACATCCAACTATGTTGTGTGTTCTTTTAGATTGCTAAGGATCAAAATATTATGATGTCCTTTTAGGTTGACAAGGAAATGCTCCATTTTTTTGTTGTTGTATGGTTGCGTCGTATTCGTGATGTTAGCCTGCATGCTTTTGATAGAGAGAAGCCATTTAATTGGCGACTTGGCTTACACAATAAGGACGTCTTGTACTTTGATAGATATGCATGTCATCGTTGCTGATAAATATATATATATATATATATATATATATATAGTCATATTTTTCACTTTGTAATGGGAATGATATGCTTTGACATATAAGGTTTTTGTTTGCTAAAACAATAAAAAATTGATGTGGGTATATTTTGATTGTCACGTTTGATTTGAGTAATATAATAATCAAAACAAGAGAAGTCAAATCTTCTTTATTTTAGGTCTAATAAAAATTTTCATAACTCTCCTCTTGTTTCTTCTTATCTCAACAATAATTTGAGGTAATTTTCTTTGTGTAACCTTTATAGATTTTCCTTGTACATATTCATATTAAATCAACAACTTTTTTTTCCTTTATATTGACAAAATTGATTTTATGACATACTTTAAAATAAGAAGCCGACCTAAATTCATATAGTATCGAGTTTTATTTATTTTTTCTTTTCATGGTGTTCTTTTTTAGATGAAAATTTTCTAAAATTTTAATATATATATATATATATAACAAAATAGGAAAATATAATATTAATGACAATAAATTACCTCAAAAAGAAATTTAAAAAGATAAAAAATTATTAAGCATCCATTAGGGGAGTGCAAAAAAAAATGTATACAATAAAGAGGAATATATAAATATCTGTTACAACATATTTAAGATACCAAATTATAAAAATATTATAATTTAACTTTATAATAATTTCTTTGACATTTGTGAATACACTGATATGGTTAAAGGTCTACAGGGTAATAAGACAATGCTATCGTATGCTTCGCTTCGGTTTGTTGTTACTCTTTTACACGATAAAAAATGATCATTTTTTGCATGTTACAACGATCATGATATTCTCGTATGAAACATTAATCATCTTAATTATCCTAAAACTCTTAGGTATCATGCTCGATGGGACTATCAGGTAGCAATATGATGTTACTCTATGTTTTGCTTAACGTTGATCACTTATCGCTCGCATGATAAAAAAAAATGATCCCTAACGATATTGCCCTATGCTTCGCTCACTGTTTATCACTGACGTGGACAAAAATGAAATGTTTTAGATAGTTTTTGTATGCTATGGGAAGGATATAATGATCCATCATAATATAATACTACTTCTTTCATACTTACCATATGTTCCTACTTAATGAATCATTGTGTGTAAAGGATTGTGACATAAGAAATTAATCCTATTTAACCAAATAAATCAAAGGGAATTGGCAATTGAACTTTTAATTTCAAAACATCATACTATGAAGGTTATGTGTGTTTGAAATATTTTTATATTTTTAATATGTATTTTGAGAAAACAATCTTGTAGTTGTGGAATATTATGAATGTTTTATAAATAATAAATAAAATTCATAGTTTAAATGTGCATTCATGTAAGTGTTGCATGGGAAAATTATGTTTTAAAAGTCCATTGAATATCATATCACAAATTTATCCTTCTAACATTTTCAATAAATATATACTTTTATTTAAATTAATAAGTAAATAAATAAATAAAATTAATTAATATATGTAATCTTATAATCATATAAATAAAAAAATATAGAATAATCTTTAAAAATAAATAAATAAAATCGTAAAAGAGAGAAAATAAGATTAAATTTTTTTTTATTAATATCTTATAAATACCGAAACGCTTATGTTATCGTAAGACAACATCAACATATGAACATATATAATGCATCACCCAAGTGAAATGTGATTTAAAAGAAAATTATCAAATATTAATTTACATTTAACCATCAATACACATTTCAAACACCCTTATCTTCTTCCTCAAATCATTACCCTTTCATCCAAGTATCCAAGATATAAAAAGAAAAACTAATTTTTGTTGGACCAATTCCTCAACATTTTCAAGTAAAAGAAGATATGTCTACAAGAATTAGAAGAAAATTGACATACATGACAAAGGGATGTTTGAGCATGATTCAATCTAAAATACCATTTTGAAACAAGTAACCTTTTATAAAGCATTTTTCATAAGAACATTTTTACTTTTAAGTGGGGGCAGCAAGATTTCATATCCGTTTCCAAATAGGTCACATCCTCTTTTTCTTAATCATCTATTAGAAGTAGCTAATCTAAAGGGTGTAAGGATCCAAATCCAATTATCATTAACATTAAGATTAGAGGAAATATAAATCCTTAAAATCTTGAAAACTAAACAATATTAAAATATTCTATAAAAATGGTTCAAATTCCACAAAATAGGCTTATCACTAAATGACAAATTAGAAACCTTCATTAAAAAGATGGGCTAAGCATCAAATGATAAATTAGAAACCAAAGTACATTATAGCATGTCACAAATGTTTGAAACAATCATACTTAGTATTAATGATTTTTCACTCATAAATAAATTAAATATTAATAAATTTAATTATTTTATGTGTTTGTGCAAGCTTAGTGTGCAAAGTTCAAATTAGTATGTACACACACATACATATACATATTCAAAAAATAATTTAATGCACAATGTAAGATTTATAAAATATTATATATAATTATGATGAGAATGAATATTTATAAAAAAATAATTTCTAATCTTTTCGAACTTCTATTTTCTTACAACTTGTAGGTTAGTTTTCTGTTTATTATTATGTTTTGATGTTTCTGTGGGTGTGAAATTGTTTCACCTCGAACAACATTTATATGCTTTTACACGATTCTTGTTTATGGTTTAAAGAATATAAATTTTATCTTAACAATGGATTAATGTGAAATAATTCTAACATGTGTCAAATTATCCTCAATGTAATTTAGTTTAATTGAAAATTGTAGATCCTTAAGAGATTGAGATATTAGTCAACTTTTGGGAACACTTTATTTCTTTCAAATTGAAGTATATGAATCTTCTTGTTGTAGAATATTTCAAATTTATACAACCCTAAGTTGCATGTAAGTTTACTTAAAAGTCACATACATTAGAGGAAGATTTATAAAAAAAACATATATAATGTAAGAAATATGTATGGTTTATGTTAAAAAAATATAATTAGGTGATCATAAGAAATGACCAAACATATGTTTTAACATTTCTTCTTACCAAAAAAAATCATTAATATTAAAAAAACAAAATATTTTTTTATTCAGAGCCTATGTCCCTAAAGAATAAGGTATCCTAGAATGGAAATAACCTTTTATGAATAAGGAAAATTTTAGAAATTAATGTTTATATAAATGGTTTCGATTTGAGAGAAGATACGAAGAAATAATTTAAACACACATGAGTTTCATGTAAACGACCAAAAGAGGGTGACGAAATAGATATAAAAATGTACGTAAAAAAATTATATCTAAATTGAGATTAACTTAAGAAGATTTATGATTTTATCATGAAGAATTTGATAACGAAGTACATTATCTTACGTATGAATCTTCCCTCACTCAAATGCTACATCAAACCAATGTGCAAGACAAATAAAACATTATTTTCGATGAAAGAGTCTCGTATATGTGATCATATAACTATTCTCTTCGTTTAAAATTGAATTATTTTATTTATTGACAAACTAAATTAAAATTACATCTATATCATCTTAATTCGATCGGATGAAGCATAAAATATAAAAAAATAATTTAATCAATCAGGTTTCTATGAACTAGGGTCCGAAGGATAAACGTATCTCAATAATTAATTATATATTATTATCTATAATTAGTTATCTTCAGTATTTTACTTTTATTACATTAATATTTCTATATTTACGAAAATAAAATATTTAATTTATTATTCTAATATTTTTTATTTTTAATCTTATAGAATTATCTTCTATAATCGAATCTGAATGGTTCATTTTCGTAACTATAAGAATCGTAATATAATTTTTAAAAAATATAAAATAAAAATATTTAAAAAGATTAATTTATAAAAATAAATATATAATCAGTATTCTCCCAATTTATAGGATACATATACGAGTCAACATCGTCGTCCATTACTATAGTCGTGAGTACGTCGTCCAAGTTACCGACAAGAGATCCGAATTTGGAAACGACGGGCTTGCAATAATGCGAGGCCAGTGTCGCGGTTGATGTCGTGTCTCCAGACTTCGCACACCGGTGGATCTTCGTACGTCGCCGTACCGCAGCTTCGATGCTTCCCGCACCCCGCACATAGCCCACCCGTGCCAGCTTCGGCAAGCGGGTCCCGCAAGCTCTCGACCGTACCGGGAATCATCCGGAAGGTGTTCGCGGACGGGTAAAATTGGTCGGTGCGAGAAAGGAAAGCTTTTACTGTTTTATGTGTCCGACACGGCCCGATATTTATTCCGATAAATGGAAAGCACGGAGGAGATTTAATGATAAAAACCGATACGTTGGCTCGACGCGAAACGCCTCCGTCGCTCTCTCTGCCCGCTTCTCCTACCATTTAGCTTCGCTTTGGGCCGCCGTCCCACGGCTCGTACGGACCACAAACTCCGCCCACCGCCACGTCAGCGCTCCATTTCCCACCGCTTCCGCCCCTTCGGCTCGTCGTTTACCTCTCTTGCCTTCCGCTGTGCCTTGCCCGCACTCGTTTATGTTCTTGCGGCGGCGGAGGTCAACGGGCACAGAGCAGCGGGCGATCGGGGAAGAGGAGAAAGGGGATGGGGAGGAACGGGAGCGTGAGGCGGAGCTACTCGGCGTCGTCGGACGACTACGGGCTGCTGGAGGAAGTCGGGTACGGGGCCAGCGCGACGGTCTTCCGGGCGATCTACCTCCCCACCAAGGAGATCGTCGCCGTGAAGCGCCTGGATCTCGATCGCTGCAACAGTAACTTCGTGAGTCCTTCTCTCCCTGTCTCTCTCGTCTCTGGTGATAGTTCTCGATGTTGCGGGTGGGGTGGGGTGGGTTTGTGAAGAGCCGATTGGATCGGGAGTTGGGAAGTGGGTTTCGTGGAAATTGGGATCTTGCTGGGATTCATACGCCCTATCTCCTGTCTCTGGATTGAATCTTGCTGCTTGCCCTTCTGTGGTGATGGTTCTTGAATTTGCGGGGTGGGTTTGGATGGAATGGGGTTGTGAAAGCTAGATTGGATCGAGTGAGTTGGCAAGTGGGTTTTGTGGAATTTGAGATCTTCTAGGGATTTTGTAATGGTCTTGTCATCAAGATTTGCTTTCGATCCCAAGTGATTCTAAGAAGTGCGACTTCACCTCTTAGGCTGTCGGAAATGATTCCGTGGCCTGTTTGGTGGGAGGCGGTTGAATCTAGTTAACTTGTGCTCTTGAATTGATCCAACCTGTTGTTCTTGTTCAAGATTTAAAATTGATTTGCTTTTTTTTGTTCAAAATGTAAGACTAATGATGTTTTTTGTTTCAAGATTCATATTGGTGATTGACTCGATCTTTATCATTCAGACCAATCTGCGTCCTTGACCTTTCTAGTGTGATTGGTTTTCTAGTAACTAGTATCATGTTTAAGATGCATATTTATGATCAGGCTTAACAAAATATGTTAAGTCGCTCTTCTTTCCTAGTGCATCATGAAGTTCTTGTTGTTCCAGTGTTTTGGTTGATATTTGCTACATCCCGATTAATACCGTATTGTAGTGAGATTTTACAATTAACATTAAGCAGAATGCATTGGTCATGTTGTTCTAATAGTAATCTGGATGTATGGTCAATCTATGACGACTTCTTCCAGGTCATTATTTCTCATCATCAAAGTGGTGCAGAGAATTAGAAAAGGCAATCAGATGTGTTATGTCTCTGCTAGATGGTTGCAATATTTATGTCAAGCTAGACAGCATGGATGCCACATGCATTGATATCCATAATCTGTTTATCATCATCAAACTTTGACATTTTAGAGTAACTTGCTAAGGTGCAAATTCTAAAGAAGCTATTTTTCATCTGAAATGCTTATTATTAGCTACTCACTAATGTGAGGGAGGCACAAAATGTCCTATAATTTGGGCTTGTGCTTCATGTCAACTCTATTATGTTTTCTTTATTCACTTGTGATGACCAAGTCACTTTATATAGGATGATATACGACGGGAAGCCCAAACAATGAGCTTGATAGACCACCCAAATTTAATTAGGGCTTACTGCTCATTCGTTGTTGAACGATTCCTCTGGGTAGTCATGCCATTTATGGATGAAGGCTCATGCTTGCACCTGATGAAGATTGCATATCCAGATGGATTTGAAGAACCCATTATACGTTCAATTCTTAAAGAAACACTAAAAGCCTTAGAGTACCTTCACAGGCATGGTCATATACATCGTGACGTCAAGGTTAGTCTTTTATGTTGTATTTCCTTCTATATAAGTAAATTGTACATATCAGATTTTATTTTCTTATAAAGGTTTCTGACTGCAGGCTGGGAATATCCTCCTTGATAATTCTGGCGTGGTGAAGCTTGGAGACTTTGGTGTTTCAGCGTGCATGTTTGATAAAGGTGATAGACAACGCGCAAGGAATACTTTTGTAGGAACCCCCTGCTGGTAAGATACCAAACACCTGCTGTCTGCTCTACTCTTTCAGTTCCTTTTTTCGTGTAAGTTAGTAAATCGTTTCTGTATAATTTATAGAAACTACAAAAAAAATTAATTAGGGTCTCCTATGTAGGATGGCTCCAGAGGTGTTGCAACCAGGAAGTGGATATGATTTTAAGTAAGTACTATCTTCAGCTTAAAAGTATCAATATACTACAAAAAGTTCAAAGTTAGGAAACTTGTCTGTCAAATAGCAAATAATTTTTATTTTATTATGGACAATCATGTTATTTTAGTGGTTCATGTTGAATAGCTTTATGGACAGTTAAGCATTCCATCTTCCATTATGCAAGTCATGTAAACAAAATAAAGCATATTCAGGAGATGTACTTGTATGATTATAATTCCAATGATAAGCACTTCAGACCTAGAAATACATAAATGGAGGAAAGTAAGCAAAAAGTTAGTAACTTTAGATTTTATTAGGCAGGATTCACAACAAGCATACTCTTACTGAAGAAGAGGAGGATGAGAGGTACTGAGTGTTAAATTTATATTTGTTACTTTAGTGTTACTTTCTTTTGAGGGCAAGCTGTGGCACTAGAATTGGATGTTCCTATGTGACCTAGGTGCTAAGACTCCAGGTATGGAAATAGCATATGCATCAAGTTTCTCCAGACTCTGCATTGACGAGAGCCACATTCTCTAGACTGCTCTTTCCTTCATTCTGTGATTTCTTTTGTGGAACCTTGCCTAATCCAAGAATAAGGAGATTAAAGTTTCTCAAGTTCTTTGTCATAGATCACCATGGTGATATAAGAAAAAGTTCTCAAGTATTATCAGAGTAATGGGAACAATCCTCACTATCTCCACGAAGCACATTCCTACTGGAAATTCACTTTTCCTATTTTACCCTTGCCTTTCTTAAAAGCTCAACTTGACTGTTTGGCTTGAAATGTTTGCCTTATAGATGACTATAAGCAGATGAAGTTATTTAACTAGGTTTAATTTGTTTCCTCTTTCTCTTTAGACTTCTTTAGTAAATATAACTTTAATAGTTTTATGTGGTTATCATGTAGTAAAATAAATTTCTTTTTCAAGACAGAACGGCAGCTTATTAGTTGTTACCCATGTTCCCAGGCTATTTCCTGACAGATCCGTCTTTTGGATTAACATGATATTTAGAGGTTTTGGGTTCCTTACTCTGTTGTGTATGCATTTTCATTTTACATCTTCCCGTATTCTGGGTTGGTTTTGTCTTAGACCTGTTTGTCTCCATGTGCACCCTTAGGTTCCCTCCTAACCTTCATTTGCAAAAGTAGGAAGTTAACATGTTTCCCAATCCTTTGTATAAGATGAGCTGTCATCAAATTCTTTTCCAAGCAAGAATGGAAGCCTTTATATTCAGCATGAATTTCTAAAAGATCAATATGTTCAGTTCAGTCGATGTGATTCTTGATGATTCTTTGAAGTTTTTCCATTTTGCTCCAAAATGAGTTGTACTTCGCTAGAAGAGTTATCGATAATATTGGTGATATTTGTAGGAGTATGCCTGCTAAAATTTACTGATATTGTGGCTTTACTTTGTAATCTTTCTTCTCTTCTATCCAAATTTTGAGGTAGTTTTTGACGAGAAGTGTCTCCTGCACTTCCTGGTCTGGCGATACGTTAATATGTCTCCTTCACATTAACGGTCCGTATCGGTGCATCGATTAGCTATCGGTACGGTACATACCGAGCTGTACCGAGCATATCGACATATGGTACACTAGGGTGTACCAATATTCTGCCCATATCGATCCTCTATTGGACCGGTATGTACCATCCATACTAAGCGGTATGCTTCGGTACGTCAAACTTTGGTGTACAGTCACAGATACTTTGTTTGAATTGTCCATGGATCAATTGGGTAAAATACGTAATTCTTTGGAAATGAATTCCACCATAGTTATGCCTAAAGGAACAATGAGGCTCCTTAATTGTGGATCTCAAACGCCTGCTATATTGCCGGTGCATGAATCACTAACCGCACACCTGTTGAGGATACTTTGTGGACTTTTGAGGCTTTTAATATTAAGTTGTGCAATATAGCTCACGTTGTAGGGATTTTGAAGATTAAGAAAATAACAAGAGAACATGATTCGATTCTTTTGTCAGATAGTTCTGATACTAGGAGACACTGGATTAGAAGTGGCTTAGCTATCATTAGGTTCACTCTTAGATGTTCTGTATTGACTATAAATGGCAAAAGCTATTACCATGTGAAGCAAGGATTTTAATTTCGAATAATACTATCCATACCGGGCAGTACGTATCGATCCGCCAGCAGATCGGTGCGCGGACCTCCCGCTACCGGGCAATATCATCGATTGGGGCTGCTTCCGCCCTGTTACGACCTTAAATTAGTCGGTGACGACCGATTTCGACCATCGCCGCTCGCTATCGGGTGGTATTAGCCGAGGGAGAGCTGAGGGAGAAGAAAGAAGAGGGAGAAGAAGAGGGAGAACCTAGAGATCAGGCGCCGCTCTCCCTTGACGATCCCGATCCGTCGCCGCCCTCCCTCACCAGACGCCACAAATGAGATGTCGCCTCCTCGTTTGAGGCGACGAGGCCTCGGCGTCGTCGACGATTTCTCCTCATCCACATGGGTAGAAGAAACAAGACGATGTCGCCTTGTCACCCTTTTTTGCGCGGGAGAAGGAAACCTCGGTTTCTTCTCCCCACCCGGGCAGAAAAAGGAGGCGACATTGCATTGCCTTTTTTTAAACATATATATATATATATATATATATATTTATGTATGTATATATGTATATATATGTATATATGTATATATGTATATATTTATATGTATATATATATACATATATATATATATATATATATACATACATATATGCATATACATATATATATATACCGAGTGGTACACCCTAGTGTATTGCTCGATACTCTGTATCGTACCGTACCGAGCTACGCTCAAAACTCTAGTACGGTACGAAATTACAATCCTTAATGTGAAGTATATATTGAGTCATTGATAATACATATATGATCCATGTACCAGTACCACACAGGTACACAACGTATGTATTTCCAACAGTTTGATATGACTTTGAGCTGATTTGTGGCGTTTCAACACTTGCCTTGATCAAATATTTGAAGATCTACAAAGTAATCATTTTTTTCTGGCTGCGAAATTATCAAGATCTTTGTGGACCCTAATCATTTTCTTTAATTATCCTTTCGATATGTGTCCCAATCCAGTTGTGAGGTCTCTGTCAATGTAACACAGACTACATTCTTTATCGAATGCATCTGTAGCTAGTTCTTTATTTGCCATGTATTTCCTGTTTAGATTTTGATAAATTAAAGCCTAGGATTCTAACTTACTAAGTTATACCTGAGGTAGTTTCTTTCCGTATGCATTTTTAACAATGCTGCCAGTCTTGCTTTCACTAGTGGGTACCATGAAAAATTATTTGCATGGGTAATAAAATTGGTTATTTTTTTGGTTTTCAGATCTTGATGACTGATATATTTTCTGCCTGCAGAGCTGACATCTGGTCATTTGGAATAACTGCACTAGAATTGGCACATGGCCATGCTCCATTTTCCAAATATCCTCCAATGAAGGTCTGATTAGTTTCTGATTGATGCTGACTGTATTCTTCTTCTGTTCGTTGTTGTGTTGGTTACATGTTATGAATGGTATAATATATTTAATTTTTAAGGCTTTTGCATGGCCTCCATATGAATGTAGAAACTGTCTTTTTTTTGGCCCACATGAAGGATTTTTACATGTGCCTCTATTGCTGTTCACTAAATTGTTTAGCCGTTATGTCTGCTCATTAAATTGTTATGTGGAAAGTCTTTATGGACTTTATTAGTAGTTCATTTGGATGGCATTATATAGCAGGACATATGCTTTTCTATGGCTGTTCATTAAATTGTCATGTGGAAAGTCTTTATGGACTTTATTAGTAGTTTATTTGGATGAAATTATATAGTGGGACATACTCTTTTCTTGTTAAAAGGCCATATCCAGTGCACGACATGCCCACCAATATGGAGTTTGAGGAGGGTTACACAGCTTTACTGCTTTACCTTTAAATATAGAGAGGTTGTGTCCATGGCTTAAACTTCCAGGTTACAAAAGAACAACCTTACCGTTAATACTCTTTTCTTGTTATTAGGTTTTAATATGACCTTCCATGTATCTATCATTCATGCTATATGTATCTTTAAGTTCAGGGATTTTAAAACAAATCCATCCATATACTTGGTGGCATGGTATCTCTGTTTGAACTGAATTCATACCAGTCTGCCCAACTAGTATCAGTCCAGTTCAAACTGAACCCATGCCGGTCTGGCCAACAAATAGTCTGGGTCTGGTACCCAAGATTTTAGACCATGCTTGGTGGTGTGTTGGTACAGCTCATTGTATCACAACACACTGCTGGAGAAAATAAAAAAGTAAAGTGTCAAGTTCACATGGTCATATTCCAAGTTGATATAGAGTCATAGACAATATATTGCACGGTCTAATGGTTTGGAGCACTGCAAACCATTATCTAATTTCCATACACTAGTTGAAATTTATTTTATAATTATTTTTTTCAATTGCAATTACTATGTATCAGTGTTTGATTTTTCTTAACTTGAGCTGCTTTTGTTTAGCGAAATTAATTACTTTAAAGGACCTATTTGAATCATATTGCATACTGGTACAATATATTGCTCTATTTTTGGAAATATATGGACCTATTTGGTTTTTGCATTTTTTGACTTCTTCGTTGTTGGTTTTACGAATGAAAGTTGATGACTGCTACTTGAAGTTGTTTATTCGCAACTATCATATACGCATTAGAGGATTTCAACCAAAAAGAGATTGCTAAAGTGGGTTCATTTTAGCACAGTACTACTCGGTCAAGTTAAAAAGATTAAGATATTATTAGAATATCCAAGTCATTAATGTTGAATAATTTTTTTAGCTTGAACAATATTATGCTTTTGACATCCTGATGCTCCTCTTTAGTGAGGTTGTTATGCAAGTGTTCCTGAACTCGATGACAATCTGAGACACCCTTCACATGAAGCTCCTTAACATATTATCTTTCATTTTGCCTTGAGATTTCCACAACTTTAGGTGCCCTGTAGATGATTTTGTGTGTACTAAATTTGACAAGATAATCTTACAAATAAATCCAGGGATTTGGTAACAGATAAGTAATATGAGATGCACAAGTCCTCTTGGATAATCTTAGAGGCACTAGGAGCAGGGGAACCCTTGTCATGAGATGCTTAGATATTCTTACTAAATAGTTCTAACAAACTAAGTATTGATGTAATTTTGGTGATTTAAGAGGATGTTTCAGTGCAAGTGGAGAATGGTCCATAAAAAAAGTTGATTAAAATTTCTTGAAAAAGAACACCCTCAATTGATGTTTTTTTCATTTCAAATCATCAAATTTTTGTCCATTTCAGTGGACTGAATATTCCAATATAAAATGGTGACAATGGTTTGCACAGTGACTAATTTACTATTCATGATGAGTAGCCTCTCTTCATTTTACTATAATACCAATTTGTTTACAAACTATTAGTGCATGGATACATCAATCTTTTCCACTGTTTGGCCAGAAGCTGATATTTTTCTCATGTGTTTTCAAGTTTTGCTGTCTGAATCTTGCTTGTGTTCCCTCTTTGTAGTGTCACTTCTTGAATTTTCGAAGGCATCATGGGTCGTGCACTCCATGACCATCTTTCAACATATTTAAACATCCTTAAACAATCTCACTTTCTTTTACTTAAATGGTGTTAGATATAATGAACCAAATATCCCTTCTTTGCACAACCATCCAATTTAATTTATGCTTCTTTCCTTTTCTGTGTTTTGTTACTTAAGCTGCATTTCTTACCCTTGAGCCTTGACTTCAGTATTTGATTCTTTTGATGCATGATCATTTGTTAATGTGCAAAGGAAATATTGCCTTTCTAGGTGGTTCCAATTATGCACTAAGACAATGTAATATTCTGCCAAGCAGGAGCATGCACTTTTTGTTCGTGCTCTATTTTTTGTTTGTGTGGTTTGAAATCATTGTTTTACATTTTGGAATGAACATGGTAGAAAGTTTTGGTAAATCAAGCACAGCGTAACAAAATTTGACATCAGTTAATATGTGCAATGATTTCAATCACCTGAACTATAATTTGTTCTAGCTATAGTCATAGAAGAAGAAAAAAACTTCAGAGCTGATGATGCTCACCAGCCTATTGTAGGTTCTTCTGATGACTCTCCAAAGTGCACCCCCTGGACTTGATTATGATCGTGATAAGAAGTTCTCAAAGGTAATAAAACTCCCTTTTGCTAATGCATGCTTGTCAATTTGTGAACCTCATGCATTTTGATATGAAATGCTTTTGCAACTTATATCGGTTAGTCTTCTAATAAACGGCATTCAGCTGTAATCAGTCCTTCAAAGAAATGATTGCGATGTGCTTGGTTAAAGATCAAACAAAAAGGCCAACAGCAGAGAAGTTGTTGAAACATTCTTTTTTCAAGCATGCAAAACCTCGTGATCTATCACTGAAAAGCATTTTAATTGGCTTGCCACCACTTTGGGAACGTGTGATGGAACTTCAGGTTTGCCTTTAATGTTATTTCATACTTCTATAATACTTGTTGTCCCTTCTTGATGCTGTGGAACAGTCAAAGAATAAATTTTTTTGCTTATTAAGGTTAAGGATGCTGCACAACTAGCTCTTAAGAAAATGCCGTCATCTGAACAAGAAGCCATATCGCAGGTTGGTGTTAGTTTTGATGCTATAAGAAGTTTGCTTATGGTGAAGTTAAAAATTTTCCTTCTTTTAACTAAGTTTTTTGTTTCATTACAATTCTCTTCTATTTTTCAAGTTTTACCATTGCCATCATGCTAGTATTCATTAGGCATATATGTAATTAAAGAGCAAGCATGTTTCTCTTAATAGTATCTGGTACATACATTCACAGATATCCAGAGGGAGAATTGGATATGCTGGGGTCAAATTTTTGCAAACTGTCCAGTATTGATCTGCTTATAGGCCTTGGATAATGAGCTTACCAATCAGGATACAGTTCATACTGGACTAAACCGGTTGAAATTAGCTGGTCCACATCACGGTTGACTGTTGGACTGTTAGGTTGGTATGGGCCAGCCGCTAGAATAATAAACCTTTCCATATGTATCAGAATGGAAATTATTATAGGGATTTGAAATCCCAGTATTTCTTTAAAAGATCCAAGTAGGGATCTAAATTCTAGCTGTCATTTCTCCGAATTTCAAATGAGAATCAACTTTTGTGTTTGGTGAGAAGATTTTGAACTTTGAAAAAATAGGTGAGAAATTCTAAGCCTAGGATTTAAAAAATTGATGGTTGTGCTTTGAATTTAACATTGGGATCTGGAGGGTGGGATTTCAAAGGAGGCAATTTGAAGGTTTTTGGCTTAAACACCTATAAAATCTTCATAGTTCATACCAAATGAGATTTTTAAATTTGAATTTCTGATGAGATTTGAATAGTGAGATTTGGTTAATGGGGTTTTACAAGGATGGGATTTGAGTTTGAAATTCTTGGGTGAAATTTTGATGTAGTTTGTTAAAAACTAGATTTCATAGGAAATATTTATAACAAGTGGGATTGTAGGATAGCATCATAGTAAATAAATATAGACAACATAGTTTTGCAAAACTTGAGGGTTAAGAAGATGATAGGAGAAGTACGAAAGAGATATTTCAGAAGTTCAAAAAAGAAGATAAAGCAACAATTTGTTGGCCACAAAAGAAGCATTTTATCAATCAAAATTCACTATACATTCTGACAAGTGACAAGTGTACCGATAATCTTTTGTTTCTTATGGTATTGTTAACCTACAAAGCAAGCCTTTTGTAGAAAATTTATAAGAGGAAAATCTAGCCTAGATTCAAGGGAGACTTAGCATAGTATCTCATATATCCAAACCCAAAAATTAGGATTTGCTGACAGTAAAAACTTAAAAATAAATGATGGTCACATCGTATTGCTTCTTCAGATATCATAACGCCATTAATCACCAGCTGAAATGACAAAAAAGGCTGACTTATTAAAAAAATTAAATTTCTTAAGATGTTTTCAGTAGTATCATGTAGATTTATTGCTGAATCGCAATATATACAAGTTGGATGATCAGAGTACTACATTTTTGCACTTAAGATATAATGTATCATGGATGCATAAGGATGGATCTGTGGAAATATTAATTGTTAGAAGAACTTAGTGATATTTTTCTTTTTCTTTAAAGTTCCTAAATATGGTGATTCAGGCATTTATCAAAGTAGTCATCTCTGGCTTTATTCTATGCTCTTCCTACAGAGTGAGTATCAAAGAGGTGTTAGTGCATGGAATTTTGACATCAATGATCTGAAGGCTCAGGCATCACTGGTATTTCCAGTACTTAATTTTTTCCATTACTAAGAAAGTTTCTTGTCCTTGTAGTTGCTGACAGATCATCAAATTTATGGCTATTTTGAAGTCTTTCTCACACACTCTGTTCTTTTTTTTTTTTAAATCACAGATTCAAGATGATGATGACCTTTCTGAAATGAAGGAAGATGAAGAATTGAGAGATGTTGTCGGCAAGGTTTCCCTAGTTCCTTCGCTCCTTTTTCTAAGCTTTAGTATCCCAGTCTAATTGTGTGAATCATGGTTTACTAGTCCAACGATATATTCTCGTTTGACTAAGTACCATTAATTGACCATACCATTCATTTTCTTTCTTAATCATTTTTTTGAGTGATAGTTGGCAGTATAGATCAACATACCTCTCCGTATCTTGGTATTGTACTGGTCTGACAGGTTGTCATAGCTGGCATTGGACCGATATTTGAATCCTTGGAGTGAATTACATGCTTTTTCATTTGTTTCTGGGGAGAAATAACTGGAAGTTTCATTGTTTTTCAGGATCCATATACTTCGAGATCTAATGGTGAGAAGTCAACATCTAATGACAAAACTAACTCTATGTGAGTTGCGTTAGACCTGAACTAATGTAAAGTTTGATCTTTTTTATTTGTATCTTTACCATTTGTATACATCCATTTCAAATTTCTTTGTGTCAATGCCGTTGTTAGTCTAGATAGCTTATACACATGAAATATGCTAATATGCCAGCCACACTACCCTTCTGTCAATTAAGGCTGACTGGTTTGTCACACGGCTTTTGCATGATGATAAAGGAGCACCATGCTGGTATGGCGGATGTTAACAGGCATAGTTCTGTAGGCATACTTGCTCATAAGAGTAGGCAAAATGAGTTCAAGAATGTGTGCATGTATATGTGTGGAAAGGAAGTTCTCAAATGGCACTGTATATGCATGTTTGTGCTTATATACCCTAGAGGATCGCCATACCTTCAGGGTAATGGATATATACAGGTTATCAAAACAAAGGAGAAACCGTTTTTTGTGGGCATATCAATTTTTGTTATGGAGGTCATTATGCTACATGTTTTCAGTTAGATCTTTAAAGTTGCATTCTTTTGCCTGTGTGCACATGCCTGGCATAGTGATTTGCAGTTTGCATGAAATGCAATTTTAACACACCTCAGGACCATGTTGATTTATTTGGGCATAGATATCCAATCATATGCGTCAAAATAAGAAATAGGATTTCTCGGAAAGGAGTTTAGTTGGGATGAAAAAACTCTCTTAGCAAGTTTAATAAAATACGTCATTTTATTTAGTCAACCTGATGATTGAAGAGAATTTTAGAATAAGATATGGTTTTGATGCAATTATATTATCTTAAATTCATTCCATAGGTGCTCATTTTGTTGTTTAAATGTGCCAGATATTTGAGGTACGTGACATTAGACCACAAATATTTCCTGTTTGGCTCTCTTTTCTTGCTTGTCAATCCCAAACTTTTTTCTTTTACTTTGGTCTTGCTGCTTGTTGTTATAAGTTGTCTTGGATAAGTTGGAAAGAAAATTTAATATTATAAAAGATGAAAGTGATCAATAATCTTGTCACTATTAAAAAAAAAATTTATGAAAAAAATTATCTCCTGATATTTAATAATTCATTTTATTGTTTTTATTTTGCAGGGAAAGTACCTATAGTGCAAATTTCTCAGGAGCAAAGTGTTTAAATACAAGAGACGAGATTTTGCCAATAGATTTAGTGGATTCCCATAGTCAAGAAAGGATTGAGGGGTGTGATAGCTGCAGAATGAAAAATGACTTAACACCATCGACATCAAAACATGATATACAGCCTAACCAATGGAAAGTTGATGTTGGAAAGAAAGGACAAACTCATAGTGGTCCACTTGTATCTTCTGGCATGTCTACAACCTTGTTGCCAGAAAGAGGGCACACCTCAGAAAGGTTAATGTTCTATTCCTTTTCATCACAAACAGTAACTATTATCTATGAGTGACAGTTCTTTAGAAATGCTCTTGTAGCATATGCCATATGATTGTAGATGCATTGCCAGGACTTCTTTCATTCTTGTTTACTTCTGAAACTTGAAGGACATGTATCCTTTTGCTAGTTAAATTAGCTGTTTCTTGCTGTTGTGAGAATAATGGTAATATGCATATTGGATACCAATAACTTGAAACATACTGTGCTGAGTCGGTGTGAGTGACAGCATGGCACCTAACAATATGGTAATATGTTGTGTCCATTTGCACAATCATGTGGCTGTCATACAAATAGATGTAGTCCATTATTTAGGTCAGAGCAGTGTATTTATACAATGAATTGACATTAATAATAAGAGATATTTACCTATGTATCACGCCCTATTTTCACTAGCATATGTCTTGTGTAAATGTGTAAAGTTCGTGTTTCTAGTTTCTTGGAGCCTACTTGATTTATAAATACTTTATCTTACAACAATATTGATCACTTAGATTTTTACCATGAGAACTTAGTTGTTTATAATTATATGATTGAATTTGATGGTCCTTATACACAAAAGATTGCATGTGCTGACTGGCGACAGGTGCTGGTATGGTAAAGACAATGGCAAAAACGCATACTGAGGACAATTTGAGAAAGCACTAGTTTTGCAGAGGGCCCATGCCAATCATCATGTCTCCATACATTAGTGTTACAAAACTCTAAATTGGTTTAAACAATTTAGTTTAATGGATCTCTTCTTCATCTAGCTCTATTAGAAGTGTATGTCCTCCAATAATCCCTAGACCATTCTGCCCTTTGTCACAAATGATGCTTTGGCCACCTTTTATCAAATTTTGGTTTTTTCTCCCCTATATCTTGGTATTCCTAGATGATCCCATACTATGAACTGTTTTAAAAAACTCTATTTCATTTTATCCTCAAGCACTTACTAGCAACGTTAAAATCTTGGCCTTGTACACATACTAGTTGACAACCAGATCAATGTGGTACCAGTGTTGGTCCATAGTGTATGGAGTGCCAGTATAGTCTAGTACCAGTTGATATCAGTCACAATTGGTTGGTACAAGTTCCAGGCCTATTAAATCAAATTAAATCGTTTTTTTTCTATTATTTTGCTTAAAAAGGAATTGAAATATTTTTTTAGCACCTAACTTAAACTTTATGTCCAGAAAACATGTCATAGGAGCTTCTGAAAGTATTGGTACATGTTACGTATATACTGAATATATAACTGAAATACTTGTAAATACATGGACTTAAAAATTTAAACAGCCTACATTTATTAAGCTTGAAGTTTAATTTGCTTGAAATTGATGTTGGATTTGAGAAATAAGTTTGAAAAGTAAGATTGAGAAAGTATGATGAAGAAAGGGGGAAAATGGGATTGCCATTGATTTCTAATGGGTGAGAGAAAGGGCTGGGATCTGGATACCGGGTGGTATGCTTTCCATCCTTTACACCTAGGTGTGCTGCTCAATGCTCAATATGAACCAATACTAGGCTAAATAGCCCAATTTGTCTACTGGTTCCCCGTGGACTGGTAAATATCTGGTGGGAACTGGTAGATATCAGGCAGTGTGTACTGGTCTGAGCTGTAATTATTACTATCTCAACATCCTCATGTTTAGTATGCTGAACTGAAAATGTTATTTAAATTGCCAAACATTCTGAAAATCTGTTTTCATATTATTTCTAAAATGTGCCTTTTGATATGAAGGACACTGCACCATCACGGATGCATGACATTCACCTTCCACTTTGAGCATCCTCCTGCTTTTCCTTTTCTTTCCTTCTGGATAAGTGGAGATCATATTTCCTTGTTGTTATAATAATTTCACTAAATGTAAAGAAAACATGCTATCTCTGTATATAGTACATCAGTTTGATTCTGGTATAGATAGTCTTCAGATTTGGTGATTTTTTTTATGGTAAGATGCATTAGCTTTTGTTTCTTGTAGTGGTTTACTATAATAGAATATCTGATCTCACAGAACACAGGGAGATAGCCTATATCTGACAACTTTCTTACAACTTATTGAACTTTCTTCTTAGTTACATAGAACTTATGGCCATGGCTGTCATGTTGATGGCATTTGATATTAATAATGAAACAAGGATATGTGAACTTGTTAATTCTATAGTTATGCACAAATTTGTTTAATAGATCTGTGCTTCTTCTCTGTTGCTAGGATTGAAAATGACAATCAGAAAGGAACTGCTAGATATAAACATGATGCACGCAAAGTCACAAATTTCAGTGGTCCACTAATGCTGCCAAACCGTGCTTTGGCTAACAACTTATCAACTCCTGTGCGGTCTTCAGCAGGTATACAAGATATCTCATCTAAAATTCCACTTTACATGCCTCATGTGTGGTCCAGCTTCATTATTTGCACTTAAGAGCATGAATGACTATATGTACAGAAGCTGATCCCTAACAGTATCATGTTAGCTTTGTTGAATATGTTGATTTTTTTTCCAGAAGAGAAGACCATTCATCTCTTTGTTTTCACTTTTACAGGTTGTGGAGACTTGCTGGAGGACAAGACCAAACCTAATGTGGTTCAGATAAAAGGGCGTTTTTCAGTTACATCAGAAAATGTGGATCTCGTAAAAGTAAGTTTGCATGAAACTACTCATCTTAACTTGTGTGGTTATATACCTATACTAAAACATATCATAACTTTTAGGACTTGCCACTATGTAACATTTCAAGAAGGTCATCCCAGGTACATATCCATTTGAGATTCATACTCCATTAATTTCTTTATTGCTGCAGTTATCCACATCTCACCTTGATGTAACATTTAGATACTCTTCCTCTTTCAGGGATATCCCATGAAAAAATCAGCCAGTGTTGGTGATTGGTTAGTTCAAGCTAAAACAATGGTATATTGATTCATTACATCATGAAATTTACCATTATGTTTCTTATTATATTCTCATGGCATCTCTCATTGCTGCTAATTGTCAAATGCTTGGAGATGCTGTTCTTTCCAGAAGTTCTTAGATTTCTATTTGCCTTTTGTGGCATACGAAAGCATGAGTGGATGTACAAGAGAAGAAAGGCGTTCTTATCAACAATGTCACATAAAAATGATAAAATACAGGGTAGCTAGCAACGGCCACAACGGCCACAATAGTGTATCAGGCTGTTTGATACTAGAGTTAAGATTAACTTTCACATCAATTGTTGTCTTTATCAACATTTTTACTGATGCCTTCTATAGCATGGTTGTGAAAGCGAGTATGCTGTTTTAGTCCATTGAGACCCTTGCAAACCTATATGGAATGCTTAAGCAGAAGATAACCTTTTATGAAATAGTTAGTGTTTGTGAATTCAAATATTACACATGTTCTTTGAAAAACATCAAAGACCTTCATGATAAAGTTGTGCAATAAAAAGGTATGATCAATTATCATGTTCAAAATATCTTTCGGACACTAGTTTATGTTTGATTGAATGAAAATCAAGTTGAGTGCATACGAAGCAAAAGTGTAAAGAAATTGAATGTTTTTTGGTTAAAGGTATTGATAATTGATCTATGTTATATTTTAAAGTTTACTTCTTTCTCTATATAAATAAATATTATAAATTGGAACATATATTGAGAGCCATTTGATAACTATTAGTAAAATTTAATTTCCTAAGTAAAAGGAGATCCTTTGCCGTCTAGGTGATTCTTGTCTGGGCAATCAGCAGCCATCTAGCTTAATTTCTTAAAAAGTATAGGCATCTAGGTCCTTAGTTCAGACTATAGGCACGATTTATGCATGATTTACTAGTTGCAAATGTTACCTCCTCTCTGTGCAGTAGACAGCTACCTGGCTTAATTCCTTGAAAGCAAGATTTGTGATACCATCCGGAATGGTTTGGTATGGGTGGTATTTACCGGTCCGGTAGCCTATCGCTATGCGGTCCATGTAACGGTTGGTAGGCCTGGCATAGGGTCTGTTCCATTTGTATAGTCCTATTAGGGTATTCAAATGGTTTCCCTTGGTATATCTGCCTGTACCATTCGTATAGGCTTATAGGGTATTCAAAAGGTTTCCCTTGGTATATCTGTCTATTGAATTTCTTTCTTACTATAGTTCTTACTTGCTTATTTCTAATCTTGGCAGCCACCTGGTCAACATCCAAAGGAAGTTGGAAACAATAATTCCAAGGAAGTTGGCAACAGTAGTCCAAAGGAAGGTGGCAACAGTACCATACCTGCATCCATTCTGATGTCTCACCTTCAGAATCTTTTCCAGCAGACATCTTTTCAACAAGTATGGTGATCCTGCTATTTCTTTTTCCATAATTACTTCCCAAATTCATGAATACTTGTAGTGGAATCTAACAAACTTTTTGAGTTGCTGAGAATGCTTACCTATCAAAATATTGTGCTTTAACTATCAGGAACTCATTACAAATCTCTTGAACAGTTTGCAACAAAAAGAAATTATTGATGGTGAGTTTAAATGTTTCTGATTGGGATTTGGAATCCTGATGCAATTAAAATAGTCATGGAAAATTTGTTCAGATTTTTTTTTTCTTTTTGCAGCATTTCAAAATGGAGTGCCTTCCCAAGTCCAAAAATCAAGGAACAGGAAGTTGGTCAGTGTGTCATTCCATTTATACTCATTCCATCTGCAGGATTTTGCTCTACTGGCCTTACAATCCCATATATGTGGGGCTAGTGCTTTCTATATTTTTAGTCCAATTCACTTGATTTGTTTTCATATTCGAAGAGAGATTTGGATTATGTCCTGATTTAATTATATTAGTCCTGCTTAATCACATGGCTGTTAAAGTTAAAATAAATAGCAACCAGAAATTACTAGAGTTTAATGTTACTAATGCCTTTGTGAATTCTCTAGTCAAAACTCTAATTGTAACTTGGGCATTGCAGTTAACGTGGACAATTCTGTAGACCCCATATCTCCAATGTATCATGATCTGAGAAAAACTTTTCCTACCCATTTAGCAATAGCTTTGTGAATGTCTTCCCTAAAAAAAGAAACAGGAAAAATTCCTCAATATCATGAAGTATTTCACTGTCCTTTACTTCATCAAGCTTGAAATTATCTCGTCTTGATGCCATGAGGAGCTTACAGTTCGTTCCCACATGGGAACTAATGTTGTTATAATACTCTTCAATGAAAACAGGCAGTGGAGAAAAAATGAGTAGAATTGTGGTAGTTTTATGTCTAATTCTTTTAAAGCCCAAGCTTTTGGTTTTCCAATATAATAATAGAGGGTTTTGCAAAAAATATATTAATTGTGCAACATTTATGTCCTTAAGATTAATTGCAGGTGTGAAAAATTAAGATTTTTTTTTCTACAATCAACTTTCTCAAATTAGCTTTATTTTTAATAGATGAAGTGAGAGATTGTCACCTCGTGAGTTCTCAAATTCTTGAGTATAAACATAAAAGAAGTTAATGTACTGGCTATATAATTCATAATTTTCAGAAAATTGTAGGCAATGGATGGGTGACTAAGGTGCTGCACATTCTTTAGGCATTAGGTGGCTTCCTAGCAGTCAAAATACCTTATTAAGGCTGAGAAAGGTAACAAGAACTTCTGAAATCTAAAAGAATGTAAATAACAAGTCAGAACAATGATTACCTCACATTTGATCCAAAAGTCAAATTTATCCTGACATATTGTTTTTGAAGATAAAAAAGGAGATTTGGACTACCTTAGCAGCCTGGACTACCTTTTTCCAACGAGAATGAGGGAAAAGGAAAGAATATAAGTGGAAAGAAACAGAAATTAGCATAGCTTTCTATTGGTAGTCATCTCTTGGTTGCCACAGATCTAATGCATGCCTCTTCTTCTCTCCTATCCTGGATGAACTCAGTTGGTCAGAATGGAGAGTAAGAGACATTATCATTATAAGTGAAAAGGAAAGAATATAAGTTAGCATAGCTTTCTATTGGTGGTCATCTCTTGGTTGCCACATATCTAATGCATGCCTCTTCTTCTCTCCTATCCTGGATGAACTCAGTTGCTTAGAATGGAGAGTAAGAGACATTAGCATTATAACATGACCTATGATTGTAGGTTGGCTATCGTGTTATGGGACAAAATGTTTCACACTCAACTCCTGACCAGAAAAAGTACAAACTTAATACAGGAAGCACTAGCCACCGAAAGGCTTGGAGAGGGTCAATGTATGAAATCTTTTCCCTGCATTTAAACATTTCCATGATTCAAAACTTGGTCCCCCAAGTCAAAGTAATAATCTTACTGGTGTAGCAAGGCTTGCCTTCTAACTCTGGTCAAATTAAACAGGCTATCCAGGTGTCACCCTGCTGACTAGGTGCCAGCACCAGATAGCTACTCCACAAAGTCAGTCATATGATCCATCTAGGTCACTGTTTGTTAAAATAATTATTATTCATGAATGATATTGGAAAATATTATTTACTTTTTGACTCAATAGTCAGATTAAACTGGCTGTCCGGTTGTTCCCTGTTATTTAGGTGCCTGCGTACGTGTTGATCTCTAGATGACAATCCCACTTAAGGCAGTGATTTCTGATTCATGCATGATATCAGTGTAATCTCTTTAATTCAGTGACCTAACGTCATACTTATGAATCAATTTCCTGCTTCATATTTCTTTTTCTTTTGTTATCCGCATCATATCTGTGATAAAGTAAGTCTATGTGCTGGCATATCAGGTTTTGGTCTAAATTATTTGCATGTCTTTTAATTCATAGAACTTATTCCACAACTTGTATAGGGTTCAACTGGTTGGATCCTTCAAATGACACTGAAAGATCCACGGTTCATTACACTTGCAAGACATAAATATTGATATCTGCTGATTTATACTATTATGTGTGCCTTACTTCTTAATTACAAGTCAACATAATATGAACCAAATAAGTTGTTGTTTTATCCCATTTATAATATATGAGATTGAAGTAGCAATTGCTGAAAAATACTCTTCATTTCTTATTGAGCTTTATTTTTAACAGTTGGATACTGAAAATGCTGAAAGAGAGCGGCTATTGCTTACTAAAATCTCAGAGCTACAAGCCAGGTAAAGTTAGCTTATCTGTACAGGCTATTCCTGTACCAATCCCCTTTTTTTTGGTAGATTGTTTTTCTTTCCCACTACCTTGTCAAAGTAAAATATTTCTATTCTGAAAATCAGGTTCTTACATAGCAGAGGTTGTAGTCATGTCAAAATGCCAAAATCTGATTCTCGTATTTGGATTATTATTGTGAATCTTTTCTCTAACTATACAATGTTCAACAGCCCGCACAAATTAAAGATAGAGTCGAGTATGGACAGTTGTGATACATGTGAAATGATTTTTTTGGGCTTTTTCCTTGTCATACATTTTTCACTGATCTTTATTTAAATGTTGTAGGTTGCTCCTTAGACCTTGTCATTTTTACCCATTGCAACAGTAGCAGAGGCCATTGTTTGGCCAAACTCATGTCCTTACCATGTCTTTGGTTTTTTTGTTATTACAAAAGCTATAACCTGTAAAATGAAAACCAAAGGGAAAGTTTGTTGTTATTGACTGAATCATTGTGAAGAAGCAGTTTTCTCAAATGATTGTTTTAAGTTCAATAAGGCAGCTTACAGGTGAAGTTAGACCATTGTAAACCATTTCCTTATACAAAACAGCTAACTGATTCATTTACATGCAACAAACAAGATCACCTCTAGCTAAATTCATATTTGACGATGGCCAAAACCTAAGTGTAAACCATATCATGCTGCATCATGCTGTAGTAAATGCTGTCCCATGCAATAATATACCACTACTTCCTATTAACTGTTAGCAATTGTGAATATGCATTCCTATTAACTGTTAATTTGTGAATATATATATATATACATATACATATACATATACATATACATATACATATACATATACATATACATATACATATACATATACATATACATATACATATATATATATATATATATATATATATATATATATATATATATATATATATATATATATATCCTGTGAGGGCTTTATTGCATATCCTTCTGATTTAGGTTTCTTAACTGTAGTATGAACATAATACTTATGGAACCATATTTCAGTTTACAATTCTGTTTCTGCTGCAGGATGAGTACTCTAACCGACGAGCTTACTGCAGCAAAGTTGAAGCATATTCAGGCAAGTACTGCTGTTTATTGCTACATATAAGGCATAACCAATGCGCCAACCATTTTAACTGCAGATGTTATGATTTGGTAATGTTGCCCTATACATTTTCAATTCTCCTTAGCATGGTTCGTCTTACCGGTCTGTACTGGTGTACCAACCAACTATCGGTACGGTACGTGCTGAGCTGTACCGAGTCACACTAAGCGCACCGACACATGGTGCATGTAGACATACTAATATACTGCCCATACCAGTCCCTTATCGGACCGATATGTGCTGCCTGTACCAAGCGGTATGCTATGATATGGCGAATCTTGCTCCTCAGTATAGTCAATACATCTTGGCTATTTTAGTTCATCATAATCATAAATGACAGAACGAACTAATTGTGGACTGTCATTGTGTAAAATGGACCTTCTTTCTACTCTTATCCTCTTTTATTTGTTTGATTTTAGCAAGTAGATAATTGGACGCATAGAAACAGAAATATGAGAAACTATTTTCTGGTTTGGTCAATTAAGGAAAAGGAAGATCTATAATGGAAATTGTCAATATTACCTTTAGTTCTTCAACCAAGCAAGCCAATTCAAGTAAGCGGATATTAAACTGAGTGATGGTAGTAAGATTACACCGCAAGGTATTGGAAATTTTCTAGTGATTTTGTTACATTGCAAAAGAATCACATGTCTAGGTTTCAGCAAAATGTCAAGATTTGCCCATTTAGAACACCTTTATTGGCTGTACTATTAAAGTTTGCAGTTATACTAACTATATTATGGCTGATAATGCAGTTCCAGAACCAATTATATTTGTTGCATATGGATGGCGTACTTTGAGAAGCCAAACATAAACCACAAAGAGAAGCATACAGAGTCGCAATAGGATGACTACATACAAATTTCTTTTTATTTTCACATAATAAGCTGATAAATATGCCACAATTTTGCATTAATATTATTTTCTATGACTGTTTATTTTATGATCAAGAGTGTATATTAAAGAAGACCCATTTCCTAAGGGAGCCACCGTATACAGTCTGGAGAAACACAAAAAGAGTAAATGTTCTTTCAATTCCTTCCATCACTCTCCTTGGCGAGATTCCTAGCACCAAATTACTACTAATAAAATGGCTAGAGAGATGTTCTAATGTTGATTTCCTATTACTATTTCCATATTAATGATTAAAGGGCTTTACAAAATCGATTAATCTATTAGAATCCATTGTATTAATGGTTAACATTTTAGCGTTGAGCAATAGAAAAGATATTTTCCATGTTTTGGAGCTGATGCTATATGGACAAAAAGAAATCGTTGATGGGTTTTGACCATTTTGGTCCATGTTGGTCATGTTATGCTCAGCCAGCACAAACTTGACTCGGGAAATGTGGCACGCATAGTACTCAACATAAGCCAGGGCATCCTTTTGCATATTCTGTCTTGTGTCAGCTAGTGTGTTCTTGTGTTCTATCATGCCAGTGCTTTATCAGCATAACTAGTTTTATTAATAAAAACTAAATCCTTTATTGAAGTTGAGTACACATATTTTCTTCTGATTTCCTAAGTGCTACAGTATGAATACTCAAGTGAAGGAAATTCCATGTAAAAATATAATTTTTTTGTCTTCTTAAGTTTTGGTAGACTTTGAGTTATTGAGGTTGTGATCCATGTTTCCTGTAGTTGATGTGGGCAGACACAAAAGAGATGACCAGCTAGATATCTGTTCCATCTAATTTGGTTTCTAGACTTTTTTTATTTTATTTTGTTCTACTTTGTCAAACTGTTGATACTCCAACTTCAGTACTCTGCAAATGTTCTTTATATATATATATTTATTTATTTATTTATTTATGTATGTATAGTTTGGCTATAACCATGAAGTTGTGTTCCTATTCCTATTTCAGTTACAACAAGAGTTAAGTGCATTGTATTCTCAACAAGAAGAAGAAGAAGCTATGAGGAATCAAGAAATAGAGGAAACCTGATACATTTCTAAGAGATTATTATTTTTCCATGCCAGTTATAAAGTTATTCCTGGGTGACATCGTCCTTGATACTTTGTTTGGTCTCCTGATCTCTCTTAAGAAGAATTAAGAGAAAGAATCAATGAAGAAAGCAATTTCTTGGCCATTTCTCAAGACAGGCAATCAGTCACTAATGTGGTCCAGATATACTTTTTTTTTTTTTGGTTCCACACGAGGCCACCCGATCCACTTGTAAATGATCGAGGTCATGAATGTACCGTGTCAGCTGTTATCTTCCAGTGATCTCATTTTTGTGTATTCCATTTGTTTGTATTTGGTAATTATCACTTTGTGGAGAATCCACTGCGAGCCTGCTTCTTTATTATTATTCTTACCATGATGCAAGGCTCTCTCCCATTTTCTTTCCAGGCTCTTCTTTGCTGCTTTGGCTGTATGTACATTATCTGAAGTTGAACATTTAAAGATCAACAAGCAGATGACTGCTTACACAGTCCTGTGATACTGGATCGAGTTTTAGACTTTTGTTTGTCTTTGTTTGCGTGATGTGATCAATTGTAAACTGAGACGAATGCAAATCGCATCCTGAAAGATGTGCTTGATTTCTTCCAGCTGTCGAAGATTTAGCATGATGAACATACGCAAAATGATTTACAAAGCAAGGAATTTGTTCTTTGCAATTCTACTCTTTAAAATGTAAGGAATTTGCTCTTTGATGAACATATGTAAAGTGAGGTACCCTGTCACTGACCAAGCCTGTGGTCTGTCAAGTTCCGTCGATGTTGTTCTGGTATGTCGATGATATTTTCTTAGTTGATAAAGATTTTGATGGATAATTTATTTTAATAGTTTGGATTTTAATCTCGTCTTCATTATTTATTCTTTGTAAAAATGAAAAAACATGTGCTCTTCGAGAGGAGGCATGTAAGACGAGAAGATGAGTAAAAAAAAAAAGAAGAAAAAGGATAAACAGATTGATCGATTATTGTATGATAGGAGAGTGAGTTGCATGAACTCATAGAAGTATGAAAGAAAGAAGGATGTTGTAGAATACAAGATGAAGAGGAGAGGTCTTTTGTGTTCATTGTGAATGGGAGTGTTGAGAAAGTCTTATGTGGTGGTAATATGGACTCCTTGTACGGAGGTAGACGTAGCAAGCGTGGAGGTAGTAGAATCGAGTTTGTACGATGTTGGGGGTACCCCTTCGTGGTTGGCACCGCTCGACGCAAGCTTGTCAGGGGAAGAAGATTCACACACTCGGGTTGAGGTTGTGATTCAAACATAAAAAGGTTAATTTAGATCAGCTCGGGACGCCTCCTCTTCTTCTCGGCCGTCCGTTGTTGCCCGGCGCAGCCTCTTCCATGTCCGCCACGAACGTGTTCGGCCCCAACAGCCACCACTAACGCAACTCTTGGTGGAAGACGAATCCCGACAGTGAAACACATCACTGCAAGACACCACGAGACCATCCATCTGCGCCGCCGCAATTGCCCCCTTCTTACAACACACAAGAAGACACACGCCGACTGCCATCTGATGGGAACCAAACGTCAGGCTGTCGAGTGGCCATGGCGAGAAGAAGCCACAAGCACGAAGATTGAAAAGAAGCTTCTGAAAGAATCAGGTTCAAGTCCTCATAATATTCATCAGCAACGAATATGTCCGTGGCCACTAACTTTGCCGGAAATCCACGGCCAAATACTCGTCCATCAAATCCTTTGCCGAGAAAAGAGAAGAGAATACAGAGAGAGAGAGAGAGAGAGAGAGAGAGAGAGAGGAAGCATCTTTTCTTGTGCCCAGCTTTCTTCATGTTCACCTTTGATTGCGTAGTCTAAAGACACAGCCTTTCGGCTGCGCATTATACAGCCTATGGCAGAGAATCTCTCCTTTAGCGGACAACACTAATTACATTCTCTGTTCTCTCCCTTTATGACGAGCATCCAAAACAAAAGACTCGTTAGCTAACTAAGCATGAGTTCCATGTCAAGATCATTCGAGTAAGCTTGTTGACAAGTGGATCTTGTGTCCTTGTGGTATTGGTCATTCTCTGTCCTCGCACACTATGCTTTGTGGTTGTGACATTAATGTCTATCGTCCCCATTCCCTGGAAGTGGAACGACAATTACCGTCTTGAGTTGATCTCTACGAGAATGATGATGCATAGAGAACCTGGAGATCAAGCTCTGCACTCACTGCTACCCAATCAAAATGTTCAAGAGAGAGAGATTGGTGTGACGATCGACCTCTGACCTGTCAAATTCGAAGAGGACATCGGTTTCAGGTCCGCCTGAGACAACCAAGAAACGAAAAGCTAAGGAGCCCTGTAACTGTGAGAGGTAAAGCAGTTGATAGCGAGCAACAGGAAGACAGCTGCTTCAGAGCTAAAGCTACAGTGGTAATTGCTGAGAGCATAAGAAGGCTTTACGCGCAGACGAAAGGTCAGCGAGTCTGTTCTCGTTGTCGGCTCCCTCTCCTTTCGATCTCATGAGATCATATGAAACCAGTTGAAAAGATCAAACAATTAGGAGTAGAACTAACAAAAAGTCAAAAGGCAAGTGAGCTAAAAGTCGTAAGCAAATCACAATACGGCGTCTACTCAATGCGAATCTACTCCAAAAAAGGTACGAACGAATAAAGCTGGAAGAAGCAGATGGTTCAGCTCCACCTGCTTCAGCCTCTCACCGGCCTTTGACCAAAGCAGCAGCCAAATGGGAGGAGGCAAGGAGGCGGAACACCAGCTGCCTTCGTACGCCATGTTCATGGGAACGAGGAGGAAGAATGAAGCTTGCAGTTGAATTACTTGGAATGTGGAAGGATCGCAGAGTGTGTCATTTACAGTATACACATCCATTTGACCTTCAATCTTTTCTACACCTTCAGTGGTCTCGTTTCGACCCATTTTCTTAGAATTAAAAGAGAGATTAAAGAGGGGCAGAAGCCACAAAAGAATGAGTTTTGCATGCAGAAAACCCAATGGATTGTTCAGTGGGAGGAGTTATCTTTGTCTAGCTTGTCCAACGGAGCGCCTGCGGCGGCCGCGGCGGCCGCCACCTCCACCGGCATCACGCCTTCCTTCTTGCTCCCGCTCCTCATCTTTATCAACCCGTACAGCTTCTTGAACTCCTTGATTGACTCCTTCCCGAACCCCAGCCCGCCGTTGCCGCTGCCGCCGCCGTTGCCGCAGTCGCTGCCAGCCGCTGCGTCGTCCCACCGCCGCCCCGAGCCGCTCTCGCTCAGCCTCCGCCCCGCGGCCGATGACGACTGGTGCAACGCGCTGATAACCGACTTCAGCGCCCGGCTCGGAGAGGCACGGTTGGCGATCATGATCTCGCCCACCTCCGCCGGGCTGATCCTGGCGCCGCCCTGGAACACCTCCTCCACCTGCGGGTACAGCTTATGGTCCTTGAGGCCGAGGTAGCTGCTCGCGAGGGTCTTGAAGGCGGTGAAGTCGCAGAGGGGGAAGTGGATGTGCACGTCGAGCCGCCCCGGCCGCAGCACCGCCGGCTCAACCCCCTCCATTCCGCCGCCGTCGGAGGTCATCGTGAACACCATCACCCGCTCCTCGCCGCAGCACGAGAAAATTCCGTCCATGAAGTTTAGGATCCGGGTGAGCTGCGACTCGCCCTCCTCACCGACGCCTTTGCCCTTGAGGTGCCGGTCGAGGTCCTCGACCAGGATCACCGACCTGGGGGTGGTGCTGAGGAGGAGGGCCTTCAGGTCGGCGCCGACGCCGTCCCCGCCCGCGGAGACGCGGGAGAGGTCGACGTCGTAGATATCGTAGCAGAGGAACTTGGCCATCGCGGCGACGAAAGTGGACTTGCCGGTACCGGGGGGCCCGTAGAGGAGGTAGCTCCGCCGCCAGACGCGACCGACCCGGTGGTAGTAGGCGCGGCCCTTGAGGAACGACTCAAGGTCGGCGCGGACCCGCGCCTTGAGGTCCAGGTCCATCGCGACCGTGTCGAGCGTCGCCGGGTGGGTGAACGGCGCCGACCGCCACCGCGGTCCCCCGCCATCGCCGACGCCCGCGTAGCTGGTGAACAGCCTGACCTCCTTACGCCGGAGCTCGAGGTCGTCTGCGACGGACTCAACGTGCTGGAGGTAGGGACGAAGGACGCGGGTGCGGTCCTGGCGGCGGAGGCGGAGGACGAGGCGGGGGCCGCCGGCTCCACCGGCGGGGGCGTTGGTCCACGAGACGCGGTCGCCGAGGAAGGAATCAGCGGCGGACTGGCCGGGGCCGAGGAGGAGGAAGAAGTCGTTGGGCTTGCGGCCGGAGGAGAAGAGGGTGGCGGCAGCGGCGTCCTCGAGGGAGGGGAGGGCCGCGACATAGGCGGCGGCGCGGCGGTACAGCGGGTTCTCCTGCCCGCTCTCGCTATACCGCGGGATCTCGAAGCTCTGGTACGCCTGCGTCCGCTCGTCCACCCACCGCCACCACCGCCCCCAGCAGTACACCAGCGACTTCAACGACAAAACGATCCGCAGGAGCACCACACCGCCCACCACCGCACAAACCACCGACGCAGCACCGTACGCGATCATATCTCTCCCCTCTCCCACACAAACAAAACCCAATCAATACAAAGAAGTGAACGACCGCCGGCCGGCTCAACGGAGTTATTAGAGTCAAAGGAGGAGGGAGGGAGGGAGGGAAGGAGGGACGGAGGAGGAAGAGATATGCGTAAAAAAGGCAATAAAGGAAAAGGTTGGGTATTCGATCGGGCGTGGGGATTAAAATATGGTGGGCGATTTGGAATTCCACGGTGACAGATGGGACTTTCCAGTTCAAACCTCGATGGAGATTTGTGTGAGATCAAGCTGCGGTTCGCCGGCAAGCGGGCGAGTTTGATTTCCTTCGATGACCGAGGATGGGGAAAGGCGGACGCCTCCTCCACCTACCTGTTAATGACGACATGGTCTTTCTCGACCATTTGACTCGTGAACAAGCCCCGATCCTTCTTGAGTAGGAGTCGTTTGCACGCATCTCAACGGACGACGTGGCACGTTTCCCAATACTTGGTCGAAAAGATCCCAAGATTCCGAACGTGGTAAATGTGGTCCGTCGAACCCAAGTCATGGATCGAACCGGACGCTTTTATGGACCGGGCGGATTAAACGCAGACCGGCTTGTACAACGAAAACTCCCCCCACACACACATATATATATGATTAATCAGCATAAAATAATTAATAATTGCAGCTTTAATTTATATTAAATATAGTGTGATACCACAATTATTAGGTATATCTTCGATATTTTGTATTATACTTCTCTCATTATTCAAAGAAATTAAATATTAATACCGGTGGGATACGCGGATGATCCTCATAATTGAATAGATATGTATGATATATTAGAATTTATATGTAATTAGTATCTGTGCACGAATTGGGTGGTAAACACGCGATGTAACGTTAATGTTTCTTTGGATTAGATTGGATCTCGATCTCCAATGTGGATTTATGTTGGACGTGTCGCACTTTGACATCATGGCGTCGGTAG